GGAAGGAGAGGAAGGAGAGGAAGGAGAGGAAGGAGAGGAAGGACCTACCTCTGGTCGCCAGTGCTGCGCAGGGCAGAGAGAAGAGAGCAGTTAGGAGAGAGCAGAGAGGGGACCCAGCATGGGCAGAGTGTGGTGGCACCACGATGGCACTGCGGGGTCAGGGACACGTGGAGACACATTTTTGGGGTGTGTGCCAGGTGCTGAGGTGGGGCTCTGCCTGTGGCAATGGGTGCCAGCACGCTGGCACGGAGTGGGGACGGGCAGGAGTGGGACAGGACCGAGGGCATCAAAGCACGGGACACATCCCCAGGTGCCAGGGGCACCGTTCCCTCCTGGCACACGTGGGAGGGCAGACCCTCACCATGGAGGCCTCGACCACAGGTGTGGCACTGGAACCGGCACAGGCGACCCTGCACTGCCCATGCCCGGCCGTGGGGCACAGGGGCTGCGGCCGGGGGTGATTTTGGGGACCGCTGGGGCAGCGCTGCCCGCTGGGCTGGCAGTGCCCGTACCTTGATAAGGTGCTTGTTGACCCATTTGGTGAAGGTTTTCTTCTGGACACGATCTCGCTCATCTGCAAGACAGGAGAGGGACAGGTGAGCCGGTGGCAGCAGGGCCGTGGCACGGGTGAAAAGCAGGCCCCGCCGGTGGCACCGCAGGGCACGGCTGGCGCAGGAAGCGATGAGCCAACTGTTCTGGGGAACCACGGTGAGTCACGGGGTGTGGGGAAAGGAAACAGCAAACGGGGACCGGCCCCAGCGTGCCAGCACCATGGCAGCACCCGGCAGCACCTCAGCACCAGCACCGAGATTAAATCAGTTGGCCAGAGCACGGTGCTAAAAAATGCCAAAGCTGCGGGTTCAGCCCCAGTAGGGACAAACTAAAAATCGGGCTTGGTGATCCTCGTGGAACTCCTTTCGACGCTGAATATTCTGTGCCTCGGAGCAGGAGGCGCCCACCCAACCCTGAGCCCCCTGGGCCCAGCGGGCACGGACTGAGCGGGATGGGTCGGGCACAGAGACAAAGCCGTGAGTGTTTGCCCTGGCACCACCCTGGCACACTTCCAGCCCCACAGGCAGGGCCCTGGTGGGACATGGATGCGACGGAGACGAGCCCACGCAGTGTCGGCACTGCCAGAGCTGGGGGACACCCCGGGACAGCCCCAGGACACTCCAGGACAGCTCCAGGACACCCCAGGACACCCCGGGACACCCCCACAGCCCCAGGACACTCCAGGACAGCCCCACAGCTCCAGGACACTCCAGGACACCCCGGGACAGCCCACAGCTCCAGGACACTCCTCAGCCTCAGGACACCCCAGGACACCCCCACAGTTCCAGGACACCTCCACAGCCTCAGGACACTCCAGGACACCCCAGGACAGCCCCAGGACACCCCGGGACAGCCCCACAGTCCCAGGACACTCCAGGACAGCCCCACAGTCCCAGGACACTCCTCAGCCCCAGGACACCCCGGGACAGCCCCAGGACAGCTCCAGGACACCCCAGGACACCCCCACAGTCCCAGGACACTCCAGGACAGCCCCACAGTCCCAGGACACTCCTCAGCCCCAGGACACCCCAGGACAGCCCCAGGACACCCCTCTGCACGGGCACAGGGCCAGACAGGGCTGCAGTGAGTCACGGCGCTGCCTGCCCGCTGCCCTGTCATTAGGGGATGGCACGGGAACGCTGACGCATTGGGATGGGGACCCGGGATCCCACAGGACCCACCCCCCTGACACCCAGTGCCCTGCGCCCCGCTCACCCCCCGGCACCCCGTGCCAGCCCCCTCTCTGCTGTCCCCAGTGTCACCACCACGGCCAGACCCATCCCGATGCCCGGGAGGGCTCGGAGGCCAGCGGTGCCACCCCACGCACACGGGGCGATGCCACCGGTGCCGCGGCAGCCACAGCACCCCCCGTGCCCTCGCCGTGGCGAGCCGGGCGCTGCGTGCTGGGTCTTGCCCCGCAGGAGCGTGCCGGGATCTGCCCATGCGGCACCCACAGCCAACACTCCCCGCCGGGAGAGCACCCGGGGATGCTGCAGAGCCCGAAGAGCCCCGCGGGCCCACGGCGGCACAGCCAGGGCGTGCCGAGCCGAGCCGTGCCGGGCCGGGAGTGGCCACGGTACGAGAGGAAGGAAGGAAGGAAGGAAGGAAGGAAACGTGGGGCACTGCGCGCCGAGCGGGGGGCACCCACACCATCCCCCGGCACCCTCGCCCACAACATTGACACCCCAGGGGTCCCCGGAGCGGCGCCCACCCCGCGGCGGCGGCACCACAGAGGCACGGGCAGGCCGGGGCGGCCAGCAGGGCGTGGCAGGAAGCGACGGCGGGCACCGGGGATGGAGCTGGGCGGCCGTGTGGGGTCCGCTCCGCTCTGCCCCATAGCCCGGACACCGCCCCAGCACGGGGGTCTGCCCCACAGCCTGGCCGCAATATCGCCCCGCCGTGGGCTGGGACCCACAGCGTGCCCTGGGGACACCGACGTGGGGACACCGACGTGGGGACACCGCCCCGGTGTGCGGCTCTGCCCCAGGGACACCGCCCCACGGCCTGCCTGGGGACCCAGAGCCCCGGGGACACGGACCCGGAGCCCCGGGGACACGGACCCAGCACGGGGGTGACCCCAGGGACCCCGCCCAGGTACGGGGGTGCCCCCCAGGGACCCCGCCCAGGTATGGGGGTGCCCTCCAGGGACCCCGCCCAGGTACGGGGGGTCTGCCCCGCACCCTGCCCCGCACCCTGCCCCGCACCCTGCCCCGCAGGGGACACGGCCCCAGGTGTGGATGCGGTGCTGGGGCGCGGCCCCCCCACGCCCCCCTCGCGGTACCTTTGCGGCCCTCGGCCGCCCGCAGCACGGCCAGGTACAGGTTGTCCTCAGAGCCCGTTCTGGTGGCCACGGCCGGAGCCTCGTCCGAGCTGCGGCGAGGTCGGGACATGCTGAGCCCCACAGCACTGCTCTCCCTTCCCGCTCCGCCGCCGGTCCTGCCGCGAGTGGGGCGGCCCGGGGAGGAGACGGGGCTCTCTCCCCCCCCGCCCCACGCCCCACGGCCCGACCCTGCCCACAGGAAACTCCTGAGCTTTAACCCTTCCCTCCCTGCGCCTGCAGGCGGGATGGGACACGGCCCCACGGGGCACTGGCACGCCCAGTCCCAAACGCGGGGCCGCGGGTGCCCCGGGTCCGCGAGAGCAGGGAGTGGGACCCTCATTCCTGAAGATCGGGGTGCTCACAAAGCCCTCACCCCCTGCCCCACACCTCGGGGTCTTGGGACCCTCAGGTCCACAAGTCCGGGCGGGGGGGGGGGATGGGACACACAGCCTGGGGCTGTTGGACCCCCAGTCACCACACCTCAGGTCCCTCAGGTTTCCAGGTCAAGACCCTCCGTGCCCCTCACAGAGGGTCCCCAGACCCCCAATGGCCCCATGGTGAGGAGATCCCCAGCCCCCAGCCGAAACTTTCAGTTCCTGTGGAGGTTTTGGCACCATCCGGTCCCACAGCCCAGGGGCCGCCCCAGAACCCCCAGCACAGGTCCTGGCACTGTAGGACCCCCTGCTCCCCCCACCTGGGGCTCAAGACCCCCAGGTTCACCAGCCCCGGTCCCAGCTCCCACATTTGAGGGGCTCAGATCCCTGGGGTCTCTCTTGAGAGGTTCAGGGTCACAATCCCCGGGGCTGCAGGATCCCCAGGGTGGGGGACTGAGCCCCACAGACTCCCCCGGGTGCCCCCATGCACACACCAGCCCCACCAGCAGCTCTGTTCCCTAAGAGCACCCCAGGACAGCGCCCCACACCCCACCCTGTGCCCCACAGCACCCACGGGCTCTCACATCGGGCGGGGGCACTGCAGGAATCCCCCCTCCCCCAATGGGTGACAACTGAGGTGACCACAGGGTAAATCCAGGGGTTGTGTCCCACTGGGTGCTGCAGCCCCCCGGGGCGTCTCACCCTGGGGCACTCGGGGTTGGAGACCCCCGGGCTGAGAATCTCCAGCCCCTCGGGGCGGCAGGGAGGTGGCAGCCCTGCCCATGGCAGCACCCATGTCACCAACGTCACCCACGTCATCCAGCACAGCTGCTGGGGAAAGTGCAGCTGCCCTGGGCGCTGCCAGCCTGGCACGCCCCAACACCCAGGTCTGCACCCCGACATCTGCGTCAGTGCCCTAAGGTCACATCCTGTGCCCCAAGATCCCTGTCTGCACCTCAACACCCGTGTGTGCACCCCAAGATCCCTGTCTGCACCCCAAGATCCCTGTCTGCACCCCAAGATCCCTGTCTGCACCCCAAAAGCCGTATCTGCACCCCAACATCAGTGTCTGCACGCTAACACCCATGTCTGCACCCCAACATCCGTCTGTGCACCCCAAAAGCCGTGTCTGCACCCCAACATCTCTGCACCCCAACATCTCTGTCTGCACCCCAACACCCGTACCCGCTCCCCCACACCCCCGTTCCGCAGAGGCCACGGCCCCTCCTCAGTGTGGAGTCCAAGGCCGCGGGGCCGCGGCCGAGTCCTGCCGTGACTCACGGTCCAAACGCGCCTGCGGGGAGCCCCGCCGGCCCCCGCCCACCCGCGACACCCACCCGTGACACCCACCCGCGACACCCTGGGCGTGCGGGGGCCCGTCGGGGAGCGGCAGCCGCGGCCGGGTCGATGCCCGCCGGATCGGAGCCAGCGCGGCCGCCGCGGAATGCGGGCGGCACCGGCCCGGCCCCAGCCCCGGCACGCACATTTTTCCGCCCAGAGCGCATCTGGCACAGGCACATTTGGCACAGGCACATCTGGCACAGGCACATCTGGCACAGGCACATCTGGCGCCCCGAGCGCGGTGGGAGCCCTGCTGACGCACGTCGGGGGAGGCAGGGACACCCCGGCTACCGCGGTGCCACCGGACGAGAGAGGGGACACGGCGGTGACACGGCCAGGGTGGTGACACGGGTGGCATCGCTGTGGTCTGGCACCGCGCTCACACGGGCCGAACCGGGACCGGGACCGAGACCGGGGACGAGAACGGGGCCGGCGGGTTCTGAGCGGCGACCGAGAGCCTGGGATGGCTCCGGGGTGAGGGGCAGAACGGCACCTCCGAACCAGCACCGGGGTCCCTCGGCTGTGACACCCCCAGAACCGGCATCCCCAGGACCGACACCCCCAGAACCGGCACCCCTCGGCTGTGGCACCCCCAGAACCGGCATCCCCAGAACCGGCACCCCCCGGCTGTGACACCCCCAGAATCGACACCCCCAGAACCGGCATCCCCAGGACCGACACCCCCAGAACCGGCACCCCTCGGCTGTGGCACCCCCAGCACCGGGGTTCCTCGGCTGTGACACCCCCAGAACCGGCATCCCCAGAACCGGCATCCCCCGGCTGTGACACCCCCAGAATCGACACTCCCAGAACCGGCACCCCCAGAACTGGTACCCCCTGGCTGTGGCACCCCCAGAACCGGCATCCCCAGAACCGACACCCCCGCTCCGCCGGGCACGGACCGGGAGGACGCGGCGGCGTCGAGCGGGCGCTTTGAAGACCTGACGGGGCGGCTCCTGGCAGCGGCCCCGGCGGCTCCCGGGCCAGGCGGTGCCGGCTCCCGGCCCTGGCAGCTCCCGGCCCTGGCAGCTCCCGGCTCCGGCGGCTCCCGGGCCAGCCGGGCCGGCCGGGCAGGAGCTCCTCAGCCTCGCCCGCGGCTGCCGACGCCACCGGGCCGGCCCTGCTCCCTCCCACGGCGTCTCAGGGCTCCGAGGGAGCCCCCGGGACCCGCCAGAGCCGCCCCCACCTCGACACCGCAGCGGGCACGGAGCGGGCGCTGCCGGTACCGGGGCTGTACCTAGCGCTGTGGGGACACCCGGGTGACAACGCCACGCACCGGGCCGCGACAAGGGGACAGCAAAACACTGCGGGGGCTCCGGACACCGGGGGGAGTGTCAGGGACCGGGGGAAGGGGGAGAACACCGGGGAGAGGGTCAGGGACCGGGGGAAGGGGGAGAACACCGGGGAGAGGGTCAGGGACCGGGGGAAGGGGGAGAACACCGGGGAGAGGGTCAG